GGTCTCTGATCACACTAACCTTCTCCTCGGTTTCCTGCACAATATCTGGTCCCTCGAGCTTACGCTCGCTAAGCTTTGTCCAACAAATCGGGGTTCGGCACTTTCTGCCGTAGAGTGCCTCATACGGAGCCATCTGAATACTCGCCTGGTAACTGTTATTATACCATCAGATTTCCGTTAGATCTGCGTTCTGGATACCATCAGATTTCCGTTAAGAGAGAAGACATTCCGAAGACTGCTTTTAGAACACGCTATGGGCATTATGAGTTCTCAGTCATGCCTTTCGGATTGACTAATGCCCCGGCAGTGTTCATGGAGCTTATGAACAGTGTGTTCCGACCATACTTGGACCAGTTCGTAGTAGTGTTCATCGATGACATCTTGGTTTATTCACGGACTCAGGAGGAGCATGCTAGACATTTGCAATTGGTTTTGAGTGTGTTGAGAGAGCACAAGCTGTATGCAAAATTGTCTAAATGTGAATTCTGGTTGAGTGAGGTGACATTCTTAGGACACGTTATATCTGCCACCGGTATCCAGGTAGACCCCAGCAAGATTTCAGCCATAGTGGATTGGAAGACTCCGCGGAATGTTCGTGAGGTGAGGAGCTTCCTTGGGTTAGCCGGTTACTATTGTCGGTTTGTTAAGGGCTTCGCCTCGATCGCTACTCCATTGAACAAGCTACTACGTAAGGACATCAAATTTGAGTGGACAGAAGCGTGCCAGCGCAATTTTGATCAACTGAAGGAGTGCCTGACCCAGGCACCAGTCTTGATTCAACCTACTCCTGGCATCGAGTATACCATCTATAGTGACGCATCTCATACCGGCTTAAGTTGTGTACTGATGTAGTTGAGTAAGGTAGTGGCCTACGCATCGAGACAGTTGAAGACTCACGAGGAGAACTACCCAACACATGATTTAGAGTTGGCAGCCGTGGTGTTCGCCTTGAAGGAGCTGAATCTTAGACAACGCCGATGGTTGGAGCTGATCAAGGACTACGATTTAGTCATTGAGTATCACCCGGGCAAGGCTAACATCGTGGCCGATGCTTTGAGCAGAAAATCGTTAGCCGAGTTACAGCTTCAGTCTCCGTTAGAGCAGGAGATCCGTACAGCACAAAGAGATGATGAGTTTTGTCAGAGGACTCGAGAGTTAGTTCCTACAGGAAACAGGCCCGAGTTTGCAATTCGCGATGACGGAGTCTTGTACTATCGTGAACGCCTAGTGGTGCCCCGCGGTGGAGTGAGGGATCGCTTGTTACGCGAGTCTCACGGAACCGTATACACTATGCACCCGGGTAGTAACAAGATGTATCAGGATTTGAAGAAATCCTATTGGTGGCCAACTATGAAAAAGGAAATCTCCGAGTTCACTGCGAGTATTCAGATGGCTCCTTATGAGGCACTCTACGGCAGAAAGTGTCGAACCCCGATTTGTTGGACAGAGCTTAGCGAGCGTAAGCTCGAGGGACCAGATATTGTGCAGGAAACCGAGGAGAAGGTTCGTGTGATCAGAGACCGACTCCGCACTGCTTCGGACAGACAGAAATCTTATGCAGACTTGAAGAGACGAGACATAGAGTACAATGTTGGTGACATGGTATTCTTGAAGGTTTCACCTTGGAAGAAGGTCCTACGGTTCGGGAAGAAAGGGAAGCTTAGCCCTAGATTCATTGGACCCTACCGCATTCTGGAGCGAATAGGACCTGTTGCTTACAGGTTAGAGTTGCCACCAGAGTTGAACAGGATTCACGACGTCTTTCATGTCTCCATGCTACGTAGATACCGTTCAGATCCGACTCATGTGTTGCCGACCAATGCTGTAACCCTCGACGAGAGTTTGTCTTACGAAGAAGAGCCAATT